GGGCGACTTCCACGCGAATTTCGCTCTTCAATTCGTCCAGAGTTCGAGGCTTGTTTCGCGTATACTCTAGCCTTGAGGTGTCCCCATAAGAAAAAATCGCATATGGATAAATCTGGGGACCGAGGAGGCCAATGAACATCGCCAAACCTGGAACTAAGGCGGCCAGGGAAGAGAGGGCGAATAACGTCCATGGATGCTCGGGCTGTGTGGGCGGTCGCCCCGTCCTGCTGGAACCACACACGTCGGATTGGAACACATCGCCGTCGTAATTCAGGGAGAAAGAAATTGGTGATCATGTCGACGTGGCGCTCTGAGTTCACGGTAACATCACGACCATTACCGTCTGCGCAGCGGTCTTTCGTGTAACTGTTGCGTATTTTCATTAGCCCAATAACGACAATTCTGCTGGTTAACCATGCTGTTCAGGTGAAAGTGGGCTTCGTCTCTCATAAGCAAAATGAGGTTCTCATTTTGATCGATCAGTGCTTCCATCTCACGTGCGAAGTTCATTCGTTGTGCATAATCTCCGGGCTGTAACTGATGCACAATGGCCAATTTGTAGGGGTGAAAGCGGAGATCCATATGCAAAATTCGCCTTACCGGACGATCACTAAGGCGAAGTGCAGCAGCACGTTTCCGGGCAGATCGAGTCGGACTGCGAATAAAGACCTGTCGAACGCGTTCAACATTTTCAGGATTTCGAACTGTTCGCGGCGCTCCTCTTGGTCTTCTGTTGATCAGTTCACCACGCCTGCGAAGTGGTTCAATCCAACGAAGGATGGTGTTTCCGATGAATGTTGAAGTGGCGACGAAACTCACGCTGTACGACGATGACTGACTCATTATTTCGGACGAAACAATCATATGCGAAAACGCGGTGCTCCACCGTCCAAGGCTCCATAACGACAACTGGTAAAATAATGCTAGGATCTCACGAGTCAAACGGCACCCTCCCCACCTCTCTCGTAGACGGAGGCGGAGAGTAATACCCATCCCAAAAACGTCCGTCCAATTCTGCCGCACCCTGTATAAAGCTTTTCGCGGTTGGAGTTTTTTGTCTCAAAAAGTTGATATCGAATAATGTTGTATTTTCATTCAGTAGCGCTGACACCCTGTGTGAAAAAGACATGAATTTGATATAAGACTATACAGGATGTTAGGGAAATAATATTCGTAACTTTAAGAGGTGATTCCTTGCATTATCCTAAGCAAAAAAGCTCATTCTAACTTATTTCCGAAAATCAATCGTTTTCGAGAAAAGTGAGTCGTAAATAATTAATTTTTCTCAAACATTTGGCAACGCTGCAACGCTACGAAGACCGCAACTGATGCATCAAATTGTTTACGTTTGTATCATATTTTTGTTGAAAATATACCTTGAATCATTATTATTGAGTACTTTAAAGCAATTTTTCGCGGCTAATATTTTTTATTTAATAACGCTTTCAGTGCAGTATATTTACTACAAAAAAAAAATGATAAAACTTGCCGGTACGTTGCGATACACACCACCGATTCCCACGATTATCAGTCACTTATCTGGAACGATGTGAAGATGAAAAAAGAAAAAAAAAACATCCGTAAATCACATGAAGTTACAGTTAAATGTATTATTAATCACAATAGAAGTCCTTGAGTTTCCACTCCAACTTCACGATGTCTTCCGCGATTGTTAAAATTAGGCTGTACGCTCCCTGTGTCCAGAAGTCTTTGGAATACCGCTACAAATGTTCTTCTAGCTGGTAGCCTTCGATCAGGAAAACGTTCTTCGTAAATGCGCCTAGCCTCCATAGAATTGCAATGAGCCTCCCCATAAATAATAAGCATATCGTGATACTCGCGTACCGAAAACATCTCTTTCGTATCAAAATGCAGACACTGATACAGTAATACATACTGAATAATAAAATGTGATTTCAATTCGGGTAAACATTACTTGCATTAACGAATGCAAGAAACTATCAAATAATTTTTTCCCGATGTAGGTATTTATTTTTTTGCCTAACGACACGATGTCGGTCGCGATGATACATGCAGTGCAGGCGGAGTACGACGTTGCCAGTTGTGTGAGGGATTTTGTTTGTCTGTTTTTCTTCGGAAAATTGTATTTGATGAGCAAGAAAATTATTTTGTTAGAGACAGCTAATGGATAAATGGATGTGTTGATACATTTTACGCTATTAGGCATATGAATTTAAATTATTAAGGTGCAAAATTAATTTTTTTCATGACTAAAAATAAATAAGTTCAGCCTTTTTTTGCTCTGAAACGGTTGATTTTCATACATTTTTGCTTAGAATAATGCAAGGAATCACGTCTTCAAGTTAAGCATATTATTTCCCTAACACCTTGTATGGCTCTTGGAAAAGACGTTTAGTTCTAGTCGCTCATGTAAGAATTAGAGGGAGCCAAGTTTATAGAGGTGTTAGAGGGGTTTAAAACATCTGGCGGGAGGCGTCTAGCAATGCTGAATATGACTTTACAATGACATTTTACAAAATATATATGGAAAATTATTCATCAGAATTTCGGTCAAGTTAGTCTTATTTGTATTTACTTACCCTCTTTCACCTGTTGCAATCGACCCTCTGCCCAGCTCAGCAGATAGCCAGGCATTGAAAATACACTGAGAACGAATTTTGCCTGAAGGCTTGAGCTCAACATGTACAAGAGTGAAGTATATATATACTAAGTGACATATAAATCCGAACACCCTCCCTTCAACTCGAGAACACCGACGTAATCGCCTTGAGTGGTGCAGACAACGGTCACTCTGGGATCAGGAATGGAACAGTATTGTCTTTAGTGACGAGTCTCGATTTTGTTTAGACATGCACGATGGTCGTGCCAGGGTTAGAAGGCGACGTGATGAAAGGAGGAATCCACAGTTTTTTGTTGAAAGACATGTTCATCACACTGTTGGAGTTATGGTTTGGGGTGCTATAGCTTATGGTTCCAGGTCACCTTTAATCTTCATCAGAGGTAACATGAACGCGCAGCGTTATATCCATGAAGTTCTAGAACCCCATCTTTTACCCTATCTTGACACCCTGGCAGATCCAACTTTCCAACAAGATAATGCCCGACCACATGTTACAAGAGTCTCAATAGACTTCTTTCAACATAATGATGTCACATTGTGACCATGGCCACCAAGATCTCCCGACTTATCCCCAATTGAGCACGTGTGGGATATGATGGGTAGGAGATTGCTCAATTTGCAACGTCCTCCTCAGACTCTAGAAGCACTTCGAGAGGAGTTGGTGGTTGCCTGGAATGAGATACCACAGGAGGACATTGACCACCTGATCAGAAGCATGCCTAGGCGCGTTGGAGAATGCGTAGCACATCAGGGTGCATCCACACATTATTAAAGGTCAAAGGGCTTTAAAGCAGTGCAATGATTTTGAAATTTTTATCATTTACTTATTATGCTTCATTAAGTACTTATACAAAATTTTATTAAAATAAAACCATTTAAACTGGGTGTTCGGATTTATATGTCACTTAGTATAGATATACATATATGTTAGAAAGGGATAAGAGCTGCCTGGATAGCAAAGCTCATCACCGCATCATGATCTGCAACGCTGACGCGGAAATCTGATAATATGTTACACCAGTTTCTCGAATTACGGTGCATTTTGAAAATATGCGTTAGTTTGTTATTTACGCCCAAAAAGTGGTTTTATTTTGAGCGTACAAATTTTTGGGTTGTGAATTGTGTCGAATCTGTTTAGGATTAATTCCCGATCAATCCTATCGACGCTCCATTTTAGGTCAAAATGAAAGGTCAGGATCGCCACAAATTCTGCTACATTGCAGCATTGGACCATTAGAAATTAAAGATAATTCTAAAACAAATTAAAAAACTCGCATCAAAATTGAAATAAACAATTCTAAGCAATATGAAAACAAAATATTAAATTTAATGTTCGAACAGACCTCCTTGGGATTCACAGTAACCTAACCTATTGTAGAAGCCTGTGTGAACATCTTCTGGTGGAACAATATGCGATGAGCTTCGCTCTTTAGCTCTTTCTAGCATGTTTTGATACACTTTTCTCGCGTTTCTCTCTCGTACATATTGAACTAAAGCCGTCAGACAAATTTAGTCTTCCCTCTGTATTTAAGCACTATTCGGTAAACAACGTTTTGTCTTTAACGATAATTAATCTCTGTATACCCTGGGATCTTGAATTAAGAGTTTTCTCATCACACAATACCAGTTTGAGTGTTATGCTGCTTCAGCGAACAGAAATATCATACAACTCTAACAAGCAGGGTGATATTTTCCTTCTTCTCAAAACTGTGATAATGTGTCGTTTTCAGCCCTATCCTCCGTCCTTCACATATTATCTCCCAAAGTGGCACTTATCTCGTTCGGCTTCATGGAATCGGTATTCCGGGCAGACGCTGACAAATACCGATGGCTGAACCGCCTACTTCGCACCATCTGATATCGCACTGCTTCTATGCCTACTTAGCATCATGCTCACGATGCTTCTCCACCCTACCCATTTTCTGCCTGTCTGCCTGTCAGCCGACCAGACTTGCAGATCACCCTCTAAGATAGTCATACAGTACAGTCAATCAAGGCAAAGCTTGTAGAGAGATCAAGCCTGACTTGGATCACTCATTACGTAACTACCATTTTGGAAACGGTATGCAGTTATGATCAGAAATCACACAAAAATACGAAACAGTTAATAATAATTCTGTGCCTTAGATAAGTATAGTTGTAACTCCATATAATCCAATTCAGAGAACAAGCAAAATAAAGATTGAGTTAGTAGCAGAAACGCTTTTTGTTCATGTTACTGTTAATATTCGAATATAGTTCTTTGGGAAAACATATTATATGGTAGGTATACAGAACAGTAATGCTTCATGTTAATGATCTTAGAATTTGGTGTTCAGATTATTTTGTGAGTCACGACTATTTATTATGATAATAAAATTCAGGTGCAGCATAGGATGAAACACAGTAAGTACAATTCGTGGAAATAGGCTACATTTTATTATTACAAAAAATGACATCTGGAGAATATATATTCAATCGTCGTCGTCGTCATCATTTCTTTGTTGACCCAGCACAGGAATATTTTTATAAAAATCATGAAATGTTTCTGGTATCCATTGCAGAATCACGAGAAGATGATCGTGCTTTTTGGGGTTTGACGCGGCGAACATAGTTCTAGTGGTAACCCTATCGGTTTTTTAGAGGATCTATTCATGTTTACCATTTTGTAGTTCTCTTGGAATATGTCTGTTTTAGTCTGAGTATCCCTGGATCCTGTTTTCGAACCTCAAGCCACACCGCTGATGACATTAAAAAGGTTTCTTTAGCTACTGTCTGTTTCTTTTGAATGAGAGGTGATCCTGTGCCGGAATATAAGGCCTCGACGTTCTTGAAGTCATCTAACTGCATCTCGAAAACTGTGGCTCCAGTTGATCTTACAAGTTGCTGCCAATCCCATGGCGTACATATTTTCATGGTTGGTTGTTTTTTTATAACTCGTTCGATAAGTGCATGGATATGATCAGCTTCCATGCGTTTGTGTCCACGTAGAAGAAACTTGTGAATGATACACTTTAATGTGTTTGTAATATGTAAAAATAGTTTACGATCATCATAATGTTCCTGTTTTGGCTCGGACACCTATAATATCAATTATGTTGTACTTACTAAATTCTCGAGAATTGATTTCCTCCTCCAGTGCAAGCTGCACTAATTTTTGAGCCCTTGAGGACATTATTACCGTCTTTGGGTTACTTAAGCACCTTGATCAACTTTGAAGAATGATTGAACAACACAGTTTGTAAAGCAAGGAGTGTGCGACGGCGACACGACTGTTTACCGCTGCGTAGCGATGATTCATATGATAGTATTGTGCATATGTATGGAGAACCGACTGTTTACCTCTAACAAAAATCACTAGCTGCTTGTTCTATTTCATATATTTTATGATTATCCTGGTTAGCTGCTACGATCATTTACTCCACGTAAAGATTAACCAGCGATACTAATTATACGCAGATAATCACAAAAACTGCAAAAATGGAGTTACAGGCACAGAATTACACATATCGAAGTTTTTTGATAGATTAGTTATCACTGGATCACATGGGGATATCTTAAGGTTTCTGGAGTCGGTGCTATTTTTCTGGAAGTTGATGGACCCCTAGGGCCACAGGTTCGTTGCAGGCTGTTCGTCACGGCACGGGGATCAAATTCCTTTTGTGTTCGAGGCACCGTCCACTATAGAGCGGGAGCGGGGTCACACACAGGCGTAGAAGACACCTCGGTCAGTGTTGTATTTGGAAATAAGGGTGGAGCAGAGAGGACGGACGTTTTTGGTATGGGTAGTACTCTCCACCTCCGTCTACGAGAGAGGTGGGGAGGGTGCCGTTTGACTCGCGGGATTCTAGCATTATTTTACCAGTTGTCGTTATGGAGCCTTGGACGGTGGAGCACCGCGTTTTCGCCTATGAGTGACGAAGCCCACTTTCACCTAAACAGCATGGTTAACCAGCAGAATTTTCGTTACTGGGCTAGTGAAAATCCGCAACAATTGCACGAAAGACAGCACAGCGCTGTATCGCAAACTTGCATCATTGGCCCTTACTTCTTCGAAGACGGTAATGGTCGTGATGTTATCGTGAACTCAGAGCGCTACGTCGACATGATCACCAACTTCTTTCTCCCTGAATTACAACGGCGACGTGTTCCAATCCGACGTGTGTGGTTCCAGCAGGATGGGGCGACCGCCTACACAGCCCAAGCAACCATGGACGTTATTCGCCCTCTCTTCCCTGGTCGCCTTATTTCCAGGTTTGGCGATGTTCATTGGCCTCTTCGGTCCCCAGATTTATCCATATGCGATTTTTTCTTATGGGGACACGTCAAGGCTAGAGTATACGCGATCAATCCTCGAACTCTGGACGAATTGAATGGCGAAATTCGCGTGGAAGTCGCCCAAGTTGAGAGAGCGATGTTGGAGAGAGTCTACGCGAACTTCCAAGAACGCCTCCAGCACTGCATCAACGATTTCGGCCACCACATGCCTGATGTGATTTTCCACACTTGACTGTCTCAAATGCTATTTCCTTGTGAACCTGATTCGACTAATAAATTTGTTTTCGAGTAAAAATTAACTATTTTATAATTTTTTTAAAACCGTCCATCCTCTCTGCCGCACCCTGTATATACAGATGCATTAACAAAGAACCATACGTTACATGCATACCTTTATTATAAATAGGATTACTGCAAATATACGAGATATGTAAATTAAGTGATGAGACTGATTCTTTGTTATTCAAATATAATTACAATTTCATGTCGTCACACTCAAACTCTGAACTGCAGACCGTTCATCCACTCCTCATACCAGTGCTGGAACTCATACCCTGGAATAGCAATCAGCTGGTCGGTTACACCCGTTTGAATATTTTCGACTGTCCCCAAATGAGTTCAATGAGTTCCCTTGATATGATTTTCCAACTTCGGGAAGAGAAAAAGGTCACAAGGACTCAAGTCAGGCAAATAAGGATGCTGAAGAGTCACAGAAATGTTTTTACTGACCAAAGACTCATTTATCGACATTGCTGTGTGCAAGGAACATTATCGTGATGATCTGATGAACGGTTGTGTGAGACGAATATAACTTTTCCTCGATCATTCCGTCAACCGACGATCTGGATGCACAAGATCCCGTATAGTGTCAATATTTTCATCGGTTCTTGAAGGTGAAGTCCTTCTGCTTCGTGGTTCATCATTAATTGACTCTCTCCCTTCTGGAAATGCATTAAACCACCATCTGGCCTGTTGACAGAACACTATCTCCGGAGACCTGTTAAGCAAGAGTTTCCGTTGCTCTGTCAGAAGCAAAACCTCATAGCACACCGCTTGAGATTGATGTCACTCATCCTTAGAACACAATACAAAAAACAAAATTGCTATGGACAGCCAAAGGACTCGACCAAATTCAAACTTGTACTGAAGGCGGATCACACGTTCCTCTGTCTCCTCTCCAAACTCGGCGTCTCCAGTGTTGACAGATTTATCGCTACGTTGCATCAGTTAATTTACAGACCTTGTATATCTTATAGGTAAACACCACTCAAACACAGACAATGCGCAAGCCAAGGCGGAGGAAAGTGGTTTATATACTGAGAGACAAAAAAAGGTAAGCACCTACATACGTATGTTTATTAGAATTCAAGAATTTCTTACATATCGATTTATCTTGCCACAAGCAACAAGCGATAAGATGGTCAGGTTCTTCTGTTAAGTTTTTGTGGCGGTTGCGTGTATTGTTTGGTGATGAAAAAGCGTTCAGTTTTCATACATCTACGGTGTCAGGTATATGTTAAATTTCGTGTAGATTGACGTGACCCACAATTTGACAGCGAGCGCCACGTTCAACACACCGTGGGAGATATGGTACGGGGTGCATTGCTTACGGTAGGAGATCACCACTAATTTTCATCAGGGGAAATATGACAGCTCGACGCTTTATACAGGAAGTAGTGGAGCCTTATCCTATGCCATACCGCATGGCCAGAGCATCGTTAGCCTTCATGGATCAACATCGCATCAACCGTTTACCTTGGCCACCACGATCGCCTGACCTACATATCTCCAATTGAACATGTCTGGGACATGATTGGTCGCAGACTTTTGAATTTTCAACACCTTCCACAAACTTTAGCAGCTCTTGCTCACGAGGTTGCAGTAGTCTGCAGTGCGATACCCCAACAGGATATCGACCACCTTGTCAGCATGATGCCCAAGCATGTAAATGAGTGTATAATAAATCGTGGATCGTCAATACATTATTGAACAAGCTTCTGCAGTCAGTTGACGAATCAAGCTGCAAATTTAATCATTTTACTAGTAAGTGACCCTGAACATATATGCCAAAGATTATTAAAATCGGATAAACATACGTAGGTGTTTACCTTTTTTGTCACCCAGTTTATCTAGAAACTACATTATACGGCAATTCAATGGACGTGTTGATGAATTGTTCAAAGTGTATCCCTTTTTTTTAAATATCTTTCTCAGGTAAATAGTGACACGTGAACAAAAGGCTGTCATATTAATGTAGAATGTATCAGGTTTGATCCATATATCTAGCAGGGCACAAGCAAAGCCTTCTTGTTGTTTGGTACAATTTCGGACTATATCGCAAATCCTTTGTTGTTTGATCGATCGGAGTTCAGTCTGGGCCGCAAACTTTGTGTGCGGACCCAAATAAAAAATAGATTTTCTTAGCTATACCAGTTGATATATGAAGTATTTCTTAAGTATGGAGCCCATCTTGCACAAATCGTGGTGCATCGTTTGCCAAATTCAAATGGCGATCATAGGAGGTCCCTCAAAGAGTTTTTGAGCCAACGGAATTAATTATGTAGATTTTTTAATTTCTTTAGTAGAAACCCCAAAATGTAATACATAAAGTGGAATAAAAAAATAAATAAAGGGTATGTCCTCCTAATGATTAATTTATCTTAATGGGTGATGTTGTACCAATCTTACAAAATCAACATTACTTGCCAGCAGCATGTAGTTTTTTTATTTATAAACACACAAAGGGTTACAAAGAAGAGCAAAAAAATGTAAGTCTCAATTTTGAATTTCTATAAAAAAAAACATAAAGCGATCACGTTTTTAGAATTCTTTTAGAAACCACTCAGTTTATCCCGATTCTAACGGTTTGCCGCAAGTCTCAAAAAAGTTGGAACAATCTCTTGAATTTACAAATTTTGTGTGTGTAATGACTTCGACAACCGAGTCCGGTTTTGTCGTTTCTTGCTGCACACAGACGTGGACGATCCGGACTTTTTGTCAAATATTCTGTGCACAAATTAATCCCAATTCACCAAGGAAGGGGTACTAAATTTGCACAATCTGCACCATTGAACTGCAAATGATCAGAACACAAGAGTGAAGAGGCCAAGCTTTTCAGAGAAGATTCAGTGTGAATGTTTGGACAAGAGTAATTGGCGATCATGTGATTGGGCCACATTATTTTCCAGATCGTCTTAATGGAGATAATTATCTACATTTTCTGCAAAATAAGTTACCCGAATTGGTGAATGGGATGCCAATTTTCAATGGCGACAGACGAATTGTGTTCCAACATGATGGCTGTCCTGCACACTGGAGGCTAATTGTGCGGGAAAATCTAAATGATGTTTTTCTGAATGCGTGAATTGGACGAGATGGTCCTATTCCATGGCCCGCATGCTCCCCAGACCTAACTCCATTGGATTTTTGTATCTGGGGACGTGCAAAAGCACTTGCCTACGCGACAGAAGTTGGAACAAGGGAGGAGTTGATCTGAAGAATAGAAGAGGCGTTTGGTATGATTTGGCAAGAAATTCGCCTACGTACGACAACCGTTGAGCTAGGACAAAGGTGTCGTGCATGCATACGCAATAGAGGACAACAATTTGAACAACATTTGTAAAACAGAAAATATTATGAATGATTGAAATTTTATTTTACACGTTTTTTTTCCTTCCCCTGTACACAAAATATGC